GCCAGGACCCCCCCCCCCACCTGAAGCTAACTAATATGTGCCCTGTTGACTCCAGATAACACCAAGAATTATATTTTTTTAAATCGTAGCATAGCTCTAAATCCAACAACTTACATATTTTTGTGCACCCAGTAGGTCAGACTCATAGCCTCATCCAAAGCCAAAAGGACAGGTTGGCAAGGCGACTTTTTTCCAGGAAACCTTATTTATGGGCATTTTTGTATGTTTAATCTCTAAATTGTAAATTAATTGCTCCCCTATTTTGCTAATGACAAAGGACAGGTTAAGCATTCTGGGCTCTCACACCTCTTTCTGGCTTTCCCATCGCTGTATGACAGTTAGGACCTGACCAACCACTCTTTTCATCCCAAATATTCTAGAAATGCCTCCTGACCCCCTGGACCCTCCTCAGCCACTGCTACAGCTACTGCAGAGCATCCTTGGCACTTGCCCACGCTTCCTTTTGAACCCAAATACTTTATTGTTTGCTTTTTATCTCCCCCTATGCCATGGCAAGGTGCTGTTTGAATGGCAGAGAGGAGAAATTTGGTCCCTCCTGGAAAAAATCCATGTGTGAGGAGGGGTGGGAATGGTCCCTCATTTCTAAGCTCAGCTGCCCACCCAAGGGCTCGGACGCTGCTGCTTTTTAGCAACCCCCAGCCTTTCCCAAACAGCCTCTGTGGGATGGGGCATGTGGGATCCACAGGGGGCAACGGGAGCGTGGTCCATCACCTCCCACTGCAGCCTCCAAAGATCTCACTCCTCGCTCTTCACCCCTTGCTCCTCACCCACTGCAGGACACGGCCGCCCGGGCTGCTTCTTTTCCAGAATCGCTGCATTTCCCTGCAAAACTCTGCAGGTGCCATCCTTGCAGGGGACTCGTGGCTTTCCCGCTAGATGGAGTCTGGGGAAAACACAAACCTCGGCAGCGACTCCGCAAGGGAAAGGAGAGACATTCCCATCTCCTGGAACACGCTGTGGGGCTGCGAGACAAAGCGTGGGGAGCTGCGCTTGGGGTGTCCTCCATCCTGAATGCGAAGAATGGGGCCACCCCTCCCTACCCCCGTGTGCCACGTTGAGTTCTTCATGGAAAAGCGGGGCAGGCTGAGCC